TTTTCACCCTCTCTGAAACATGTACCTATCAAATGCACCTCTGGGTGTCTGGGCAAAGAACCCCAATTTTATATGCATTAAATGAGCTCTTTAAGCAACAGGAATAAAGACAACATTCAGGAAGCAAAGAAAAATCCAAATATGAAAGTGTCTCTGAGGTTAGACCCTTATTACACTATTGAAGTACAGTCATCAAACGATCAACAATAATCTTCATGTTACCCAGAAAACCAAACACCACATCTTGTCACTTATAAGTGGGAGCTGAATGATGAGAACACATGGTGGGTAACGACACACACTGGGGTCTGTCTGTGGGAGCAGGGAGAGCATCAGGAAGAATAGCTAATGAATGCTGGGCTTAATACCTAGGTGATGGGTTAATCTGTACAGCAAATCACGATGGCACACATTTACCTATGTAACAAACCTGCACATCCTGCACATGTACCTCAGAACTTAAAATAAAAGTTGAGGAAAAAAATCTTCATGTTACCAAGTAACAGTACCTTATCCCTGCTCCAAATTCCAAGTTCTTGTTAGAGGGTCTTACAAAATATATAAAATGCTTCCATTTTAAACAACTTAAAATACATTCTGGGTGGTGTGCAGTGGCTCACGCCTGTAGTCTCAACACTTTGGGAGTCCAAGACAAATAGATCATCTGAGGTCAGGAGTGCAAGACCAGTTCGTTCAATGTGGCGAAACCCTATCTCTACTAAAAATACAAAATTAGCTGGGCATAGTGGCGGGCACCTGTAATCCCAGCTACTTGGGAGGCTGGGCAAGAGAATGGCTTGAACCCAGGAGGTGGAGGTTGCAGTAAGCGGAGATTGCGCCACTGCACTCCAGCCTTGGTAACAGAGTGAGACTCTGCCTCAAAAAAAAAAAATAATAATAATACATTCCAACTTAAAACTCCCTTTGCTATTAAAATACAAACTAGAAAACTGTTATGTAATTTTGTATTGTACAACTGTTTGAAATTTTTCTCCTATTAATTAGGAAATATGCTAGTATCTCATCTCCATCTGAAAGCAAGTAAAGTAAGCAGCTGAAGTTCTTTGTCATGTCCCTGTTAACTTGAAGGCAGTTATTCTTTGGACTGTATAACATTAATAAGAGGCATGCTTTAGTCTTGGGGTTTAAATTGTTAATAAAAACCACATAGTGATGTCTGTGTGCACTCTCTCTTTCCTCACTATTAAATCCCACGTGCCAGATCTAGTGTCTTCACTAAGAGACTATACATCTGAGCAAACCAAGTGTAAGTTCCTTTGCCTATGGAATAGAACCTAAGTTCTTGACAGTAATCATAGACTGTCCAAAGAGACTAGCCAGGTAAGGACAACTCTACTCCTACTTTGAGAGACTACCTTCAGGATCTAGTGTTCTTAGAGAAGAAAATATTTTGGGGTTATACTCAGATATTATTGGCACTAGGAAGTACAGTGTTTTTAAATGTCACCTTTGTTCCTTTGCAAGATGACCCTAAGATCCTAGAGAAATCACACAGTCAAGTTTTCTTTAGAGAAGATGGAGAAACAACCCAAGCATTTACAGATCTTCTGAATGGAAGGGCATTAGACCCTGAGAACTGTTTCAAACGTGAATTGCACTTTAAAGAAGCCTAGACCCACAGCCAGTCACTCAGATGCCCCTTTAGGCTTTGGAAGATTGTTCTTCATGCTTTTATAGGTCATTTTGGTACTTTTTCAGAAATAACCAAATGTAGCAACATGAGAAATAGTCACAAATACTTACAGATGAAGCTGAGGAAGTAGAAATAAAAGTTTAAACGATATGACAGACTTGTTTAAGGACACTTAATTGAACAAAAAAACACTCAATATTAATACCAAATTAATATTCTGGATCTTGAAATTAAAGGAAACAAATTACTTTATAAAGACTTTATGTGTGTGTGAAACCAAGTCTAATGAACTAGTTATTATTAAACTAGCATTGAAAATTAACATCTGTCATTTGCTCACCAATTCTAGGTAGAAATTTAGCTAAGATAATCTAAGCCAGAGTTTTCAGGTTTACAAAACCCTTCACTGATCTCTTCAGCAGTAGCAAAAAAGTAGAGAGGACATTTTCAGGATTCAGTCTGAATGCTACTATGGCTGAAAACCAGATTAAATTTATCTCCTATAAGGCAAAATCATAATCAAAGGCTCACATGAAACAGCCTCTGAAACAACTGCTTAGATTCAAAATTGATTATCGGTTTCATTTTATTAGTAGTAAACTTCATCTCTCCCTTATTTGTGAACATGATAAATTCCTAAATTTACATTCCAAGCCACAGAATATTACTGTGAATGTGAACGTGTGGACAAAAAATGTTCCCAACAGCTTTCCAAACATTTTTTTTAAATGCAATATGGTGTATACCAGCCCTAAGGCAAGAAGACAAAATTTCTAAGATGATAAGTAAATTGCCTAATTTAAATTTAAATGGCCCCTTTAAACAACCTAAGGCATGTACAAAGCATGCCTCCTACAAATGCGGTATGTTAACATGTTGTATTAAATCTGACAATAAGAACCCCAATTAGTTTACATCATTAGTCACCATAGCCTACTATTATCTCTTAATGCTTTTAACTCTGTGTACCCTAAGCAAACACTGTAAACTAAGTAATAGTTACAAAGCAATTAGTTGAGCCATTAAAGAAATATTTAATTGGTTCCTAGACTATCAAAAGACTTTAAATCCATTTACAAATAGGAAAGTTGAAAACTAAGGTCTAATTGCTTTCACTATCTATAACTACATAGCATATGAACAAATTTACGTTAACTACATGGTAAATAAAGCAATAAATTATTAGCATTGTCAACATCTGAATATATTTAGCCTCCTTTTTTTAAAAACAACAATAGTTTTTCATACAATCACCTATTTTATAAGTCCCTTGGATGCCTCCCTAATAACAGATTTATTTTGAACTCATTAATTTCATATTCTTTAAAAAAGGAAATAAAAAAGGAAAACCTTAACCACCCCAAAAAACTAGTTTTGGGATTGCAATCAAAGCAAACACACTACTCATTAACTGTATTTACTGAAGGCTGGCAATTTGGGAGGTTGGTAAATGCCTTTTTCTCATTTGTTGACTTCTGTTTTATCACTTATTTACACAGACATTTCTTCGAATTTCATACTGTGTATCACAGTTGATGATTCTTTTATTGTCAAAAAAGATAAAAAACGCAAGCATCACTTAAAAAATTATAGAAAAATAATTTTACTGTTACACAAAACCATGCTTTGTCTTCCATGAATGCGATGCCTTTAAAAAAAAATGGGTGTGAGAGGAGAGAAAAGAGAGAAGAGACAAGGGTGCTAGGCAGCAACTTCATGTATGTGATTTGAGGGTCCAGCTAACAAAATCTCCCTTTCTGGCTTCCATTCAGCATTCTCCATAACAGTAAATTCCTTTAGGTTAAAGCAGATTACGTATGTCACTCTAGAATGATTTATGTATGTACAAATTACAGAAACCTACTTAAGCTAGCTTAAATAAAATAGTATTTGTTATAAGAATTCAGGGCTATATCACAACCTAATCAGCAGGAAGAACAGGCAGGTCTCACGGGAATTAGAAGGCCTCAGGCAGAGGCAGAGGCTGAGTCTTTTTGTCTTTGTCCCTCTCCACATCATCTTTTATCTCTGCTTCTGGAAACAAAGTGAAAATCTACTTCATTCCTTTCTCCATAGACTGGCGTCCTTGGCAAACCTTTTAGGTTTTCTTCCCCCATAATCTTGCCTGGCATGTGACTGGTGCTTAAGGAGCTGATCCTGGTACCATGCCTACCAACCAACTCTGTACCATCTCCATTGATTCAAAAATCCCAGGACAAAGAATACAGTTTACCTAGTGTGAATACCCCTGTCCTGTCAACTATATCCATGGAACAGGGTTGAACCTTCCAACCTATGGATAGGGACAGAGAACTGAGGAGGAGATGTAGTTTAAAATGAAATGTATGGCCGGGCACCGTGGCTCACGCCTATAATCCCAGCACTTTGAGAGGCCGAGGTGGGTGGATCATGAGGTCAAGAGATCGAGACCATCCTGGTCAACATGATGAAACCCCATCTCTACTAAAAATACAAAAATTAGCTGGGCATGGTGGTGCACGCCTGTAGTCCCAGCTACTCGGGAGGCTGAGGCAGGAGAATTGCTTAAACCCAGAGGTGGAGGTTGCAGTGAGCCAAGATCATGCCATTGCACTCCAGCCTGGGTAATGAGAGCGAAACTCCATCTCAAAAAAAAAAAAAAAAAAAAAAAAAAATGAAATGCATGTGTGTTACAAGGTCCTACTGAATTCAAATTTATACAGAGGACAATATTAACCACTGAACACAAACAGCAAGACTGAGTGAGAAAGGCCCAGGCAGGTGCATTCCGATGGTTTCTCAACAGTTTACTTCTACGGCCTTTCAAGGCAATGATAATAATTAAAGAACTCAAATGTACATATAAAGGAGACAGTTTATATCCCCTTCTGGTGGCATGGCACCTGGAGCATCTTTAATCGTTTGGTGATTCTGATACCTCTCCAGACAACCCTTTAGAAGTAGGAAGGACCCACATACAGAAACTAGAAATAGAAACTGTTCTGCAAAGGGCAACTTATATAAAAACAGGGAGGAGATGGCTTTCAGTTTGAAGATAAAGGTTTTTTTTTTTTTTTTTAAAGGAACTTGTTGCTTATAAAGTTGAATATCTCAGCAATATGGCTGAAGTACAGAAAATCCTAATGGACTGGGGGAGGGTATATGTTAAATTCCAAATTCTGAAACAGGGAGGACCCCTTGAAGCCAAAATAAGAAAGGTTCAGGGCAAAGGAATAATGCTTCTTTATACAGCAACTGTAAATATACAGCACATGTCATCTTAATAATTATTTTTCATTTTATTTTAATATTTAACATACAATGTTAGTGTCTTCACATTCACCTCACAAACCAGCGTGTGACTTACCTGAGGAAAGAGATTATATCTTAGTCATCTCTGTCTCCTCAAAGTCCAGTGTAACAAAAGACACCTAAAAAAAACCCATTAAGTAGTTTTTTGATGAGTCACAGACACTAAAAACAAACAACTTCAAGAAACGCTCATGGAAACTTATGAATAATAGATTCATAACAGATTTCTAAGGAAAGAAAGGAAACTTTGGGCTGCATCCTTACCTAATGCGGATGAAAGGACAGCAGGCATACTTTCTCACATAAAAGTGACTTTGGTATATGTGCAAGACACTCCTCAAGACTGAGTACACCACTCTTCCACTCAGTCTTGTTCACACAATCTGGCCCAGATCCACCTCTCTAATTTTGATCACAGTACTGTTTCGGGCACCGTATCTTCCAGCTGAACTTTCCAAAGGAAGATTTTATATCTACTACTGTGCCAGTGATTATTATCTTTCAGTTCCAAACCCACCTTTCTATACTTTGCTTTGCGAATCTGGCTCTAGAACTTTGCAAACATTTCTTGCCAACTACACATTCCCATTATTCTTTACCAAATGGGGCACTAGACTGAAGCAGAAAGGCTAGCCGAAGAGATTTATCCTTTTGCTCGCTGCTTGAAGGCAACTCAAAAATAAATAAACAAACAAAAAGCAGGAGTTGCAATTCTCACATTTGATAAAATAGATTTCAAAGCAACAAAGATACAGTGGTAAAAGGATCAATGCAACAATAAGAGATCTTAATACCCAGATACATAAGACCCATAACGAGATTTAGACTCAATGAGACAGAAAATTAATAAGGATATCCAGGACTTCAACTCAGATCCAGAACAAGTAAACTCAATAAATATTTATAGAGTTCTCCATTTTAAATACACAAAATATTGATCGGCCATTATTAATACCCATTTTTAGAATGAAGCAACATTCCTGTTCTCTCTCCCTCTTTTTCTTCCTCTTTCTTCCTCTCCTCTCCTTTTTTTACTTTTCAACATCCTGGTTCCTCACCTCTAATCAATACATTCCTCTGAACACCTGATTCCTTGTGATTCTCCCGTCCCATTGAAACCTCCAATCCATTAAAAAAAAATAAAAAATAAATAAAAAAAAAAATAAAATTCTCAACCATTTAAAAAAAAAAAAGGCAACTCACCATGGTAACTAGAGTGGTCCCAATCTCCATTTATTCAGCCCTGCTCCCACTCCCTAAACGAGCCCCATTATTTTCTAGAGACACAACAGGAGCCAGCCAAGTACTCCCCCATCTCACCCCCAAAGATCTGAACCCAAACTTGCCAGGTACTTTTGTGAGCTTCCAAATTTTGACAATCCCAACCTCTTCTTTTATTGCCCTAGCCCTATTGGTGCTAGTTCTTCTTGGAATCCCTATCTGTGTGCTTCCTTAATATTTCCATTTTGTCTTTGCAGTGCTCCAACATAGGTTGGCCCGCTGTAAGACCTACCTCCCAATGCTGCTATGCAAGTCCACAGACTTTTGCTTATAACCTTCAATGATCCATAATCTTCTCCATGGTCTCCAGACTGCCAACAGCAATAGGGTTTGATAGTGACTTTTTGGTAACAAATCTTTGCGAATTCCAGGCCTCCTCCACATTTCAAATAATGGATAAAGCTCAGATACAGGGAGTAGGGATTATTCCAGTTGGCAGAAAAAAGACAAGAGACATTATTCTGTTAACAACAAAGCAAACCAATAAATGTAGAATTTCAATAAATCACCATAACCCAATGTTCAATAAACTTACTGAACACCAGTGTTAAAAAGCACTGCTTGGTGATAATGAATGCATTAAAAAAGCTTAAAGCCTGGCCCTATTCACATGAACTTCGGAGACAAGTCTGAAAAGAGACTTGAAATCAACAGTTAACCAAGTCATATAAAAAGTAAAAAATTTATGTTTGGGTAAGATCAGATTTACAGTAGATACCAAGACCAAGCTAACTGTTCTGGGCAAGGAGAAAGTGAAACTAATGAAAGTTAGCTGTGACTTTTGAGTCTTGCTTATACAACTGTATCATTTTAAAAATTATACACTATTACCATTACCTTGTAGCAAAGACTACATTCCTCCCAATATCATTTCTCCCCTTCTACCTCATTAGTACCCATTCCCTAACCTCCAATGGTTAGCTATGTACATGGCCACCTAGAATAAAGATACTGAAAGTGATATGTACAGGTGAAGAGGCACATTCCTTGTTTCCTTCCTTCCTACTGCTGCACTGTGGACATGGTAGTAAAATCTCAGACCACATAGATGAAAGCAACTCTCTAAGAATGAGAGAGTAACAAGAGAAAAGGGGCATGTAACCCTAACAGCACCATAAAAGACTATGAAGTATTGCCATTATCAGTTTGGATATTTATGTAAGAGAAAACTAACATTTTGGATTTCTGTTGTAGTAACCAAGTCTGTATTTTAATTAACATTAACTCCAGATATCTAGTTACTATCCCTTAAGGTTCACACAGGGTCAGCAGAACCAACTGAGAATTGAATCTATGGTTCCGCCTTCATGTACTTCCATAAGGAAGGTTGGGACTGGTGGCAGAAATAATGTTTCCCAGCAGGTACCATTCAAAGACTTCCAGAGGCATTCGTGAACACTGAATAGGGAGTAAAAATGTTCAAGATAGATAGTTAATTTTGAACACAGACGTCCCTTGGAGCAAGGGAAGAATATCCATGATTACTGCAGAGAGTTTACAAAAGAAAAGGTGGTGGTTTCAGTGCACACTTTATTAGACTAATATTTTAAAAGTACTTCATTCAATCTTGCCTATGCAGAAAAATTTATCCACCTAATATACACCACATAACTCTGGTGTTATATGCTTGCAAAATGTTTTTGGAAGTATATTTGATTTGGGGGACCTATTTTGTTATTTCTATAGGAAATGAGTTTCTAATAACTGAAACATAATTCATACACTGGATATCTATTTTTATATGAATAGAAATCTAACATGGGTTATACTTAAAATCATTTGATTCACAATTGGAGTCAAGGAACCATTTATGTTTGGGTTCCCTGCATAAAAGAAATTCCTAAATATGAGTACTTAGCAGATTCATCAGGCCGTGTGGCAATGTAGCAAGATGGAGGTGACTACCAAGCAGGGGTTGTTCTAGGAAACCTATTTTAACTATCAGTAGAGTTTTTCTGTAATTGTGAAGTACACTGTAAACAAAAATCATTTTTGATAAATAACAAAGCAAGATCAGTGAAATGTTTTCAGGTGGATAATGATATGGGGAGCATAAGTGCTGTTATCAGTGTAAGATGATTACATGAGCCCCTCAAGTTTGAGGATTAAGAAGGAACTGCAGGTCTCACCAGGGTTTACCACGAGGGAGACAATGCATATTGTAAACTAAACAAACACCACTAGAACACGTTAACTTCTCCCTGAAGGGCAGTAAGGCCAGGGGCTACTCAGCAGGGGACAGGGGAGTAGTAAAAAGTAGGCTGTGCCTGCTGTTGAGAAGTTTAGGAACCAACTGGGGAAAACAGCCACATGCTAAAGAGCATTAGCACCAGTCATAATCAGGTACATAAATAACTTGGCTGAGGTCAGGTATATAGGTGTGGACTCAAGTGGTTAGGAAAAGCTTCGAGGAACAGGTAGATCCTGAACGGGTCTTGAGGGATGGTAAGATATACACAGTTGGATGATGGCATGCTGCAGTGAACAGGCAAGGAAGGCCTCAAGGCAGAATTCAGCAGCCAGATTCCTCCTCTGAAGACAGGTCCATCTGTCCACGATGCTTTCTCTTCTCTCAGAACACTAATGTTCTTTAAAGAAAACTAGATGTTCTTTAAAAACTGGATCAGTGAGCAGGTCAGTTTGTGAAAGATGTGCTAAAATGCTTAAGTTTCTTTTCTATAGTATTTTTCAAAGCTTTTAACATACCAATGCACACTGTGAAATCTCTGAGGAGGTGATACAATATGCAATGCTTCTCAACCTTACTGGCCCAAAAACCCTTTTAAAGTAATGCCTGCTAATATACCTTGGTTCATAGAACACAGTTCAGAAAGCGCTACTTGGTGGTACTGAATCCCACCTGAGGAGGTAGGCTCTGCACTAAGCCTAGGTTTGAACTCTAATTGTGACCTATGAGGTCAACTGACCTTGGGCAAGGTATTTAACTTCTCAAAGCCACGAATTTCCTCAACTGTAAAATGTCAGAAGATTAAGAATGTAAACATACCTAGGTGTTCAATAAAGTCACTCATTAATATTTGATGCTCAATTATCAGACTAGAATTTGGCTCCCCACATGGGTGGGTAGTACTGTGCTAACCTGTTGTATTAGTACCTAAGTATAAATAAATGCATAATGTCTGTATGTATTTAAGATATAGGCCGGGCACAGTGGCTCACACCTGTAATCCCAGCACTTTGGTAGGCCGAGGCAGGTGGATCAAGAAGTCAAGAGAAGGAGACCATCCTGGCCAACATGGTGAATCCCCGTCTCTACTAAAAATACAAAAATCAGCTGGGCATAGTGGTATGCGCCTGTAGTCCCAGCTACTCAGGAGCCTGAGGCAGAAGAATCTCTTGAACTTGGGAGGTGGAGGTTGCAGTGAGCCAAGATCACACCATTGTACTCCAGCCTGGCACACAGAGCAAGACTCCATCTCAAAAAAAAAAAAAAAAAAAAAAGATGCAAAGACATAGAAAAGAAGAGCCCCATCATGTTGTAGTGAAATAAGTATAGTCCAATTATGCAATGACTAAAAGAAATGGTATTAGCTAGAGGAGCCAAGATGGCCGAATAGGAACAGCTCTGGAGTGCAGTTCCCAGCAAGAACAACACAGAGGGTAAGTAATCACCCCATTTCTAAATGAGTTTTCACTGCCCACAGACCAGGAGATTCCTGGGCAAAAAAGTGCCATAAGTTTCCAGCATGGCTGTTTCAGCCAGTGCCGTGGGTTGGCACACAGAAACTCAAACAAACCTGGGGGGCCATTTCAACTGGCACCTGGAACACCTGGGAGACAGAACTGCCCATTCAACTGAAAGGGAGGGGACTGAGACAGGGAGCCAGGATATGTGGCTCGGTGGGTACGACCCCCACAAAACAAGCAATCTGAAATGGTCTGAAATGAGAGTTTTGCAGCAAGTGCAGCTGGAATCAGGATGGTCCAGCTGGTGGAGGGGCAGGGGGCGTCTGCCATTACCAAGTCAGTTCGCCAATACCGAGGCAGTTCTAACTGTACCTCTATTAGGAACAACACCTCAAGGAAGTTCACAGCAGCTGGGCTGAGCTTACAGCAGCTCAGCAATGCCTCTGCTGGCAGACTGTGACTAGACTATCTCCCTGCTGGGCAGGGCATCTATTTAAAAAGGCAAGAGCATATCAGGAACGTATAGATAAAGCCCGACCTTCCTAGGACACAGCACCTGGGAAAAGAGGCGGTTGTGAGTTCTGCTGCAGCAGACATTAATGTACCTGCCCAGCAGCTCTGCATGGAACAACAGAGCTCCCAGTACAGCACTTGAGCTCCTAAAGGGACAGACTGTCTCCTCAAGCAGCTCTCGGACCCCCATATACCCAAAGACACACCTCATAAAGGAGAGCTCTGGCCGACACCTGGCGGGTACCCTTCTGGGACGAAGATAACAGAATAAGGAATTGGCAGCAACCCTTACTGTTCTGCAGCCCCCACAGGTGATCACCAGGCAAGCAGGGTCTGGAGTGGACCTCCAGCACACCTGCAGCAGAGGGGCCTGACTGTTAGAAGGAAAACTAAGAAACAGAAAGAAATAGCTTCAACATCAACAAAAAGGATGTCCACTCAGAGACCCCATCTGGAAGTCACCAACTACAAAGACCACAGGTAGATAAAGCCATGAAGATTGGAAGAAACCAGCACAAAAAAGGATGAAAACACCAAAAACCAGAATGCCTCTCCTCCTCCAAGGGACCACAACTCCTCATCAGCAAGGTAACAAAGCTGCATGGAGAATGAATCTGATGAATTGACAGAAACAAGCTTCAGAAGGTGGGTAATAACAAACTTCTCAGAGCTAAAAGAACATGTGCTAAACCAATGCAAATAAACTAAGACCCTTGAAAAACGGTTAGATGAAATGCTAACTAGAATAAACAGCTTAGAGAAGAATATAAACAACATGATGGAGCTGAAAAACACAGTATGAGAACATCACAAAGCAAACACAAGTTTCAATAGCTGAATAGACCAAGCAGAAGAAAGGATATCAGAGACTAAAGATCAACTCAATGAAATAAAACGAGAAGGCAAAATTAGAGAAAAAAAGAATGAAAAGAAATGAACAAAGCATCCAAGAAATACTGGATTATATGAAAAGACCTAATTTATGTTTGATAGGTATACCTGAATGTGACAAAGAGAATAAATCCAAGCTGCAAAATACCTTCAGGATATTATTCAGGAGAACCTCTTCAACCTAGTAAGGCAGGCCACCATTTAAGTCCAGGAAATACAGAGAACACCACAAAGATATTCCTCAGGAAGAGCAACCCCAAGGCACAAAATCAACAGATTCACCAGGTTTGAAATGAAGGAAAAGATGCTAAAGGCAGCCAGAGAGAAAGGTTGGGTTACCCACAAAGGGAAGCCCATCAGACTCACAGCAGATCTCTCAGCAGAAACCCTACAAGCCAGAAGATTAGGGGACAATATTCAACATCCTTAAAGAAAATAACTTTCAACATAGAAATTCATATCCAGCCAAACTAAGCTTCGTAAGCGAAGGAGAACTAAAATCCTTTACAGAAAAGCAATTGCGGAGAGACTTCCTCACCACCAGGCCTTCCTTACAAGAGCTCCTGAAAGAAGCACTAAACAAGGAAGGGAACAACCAGTACCAACCACTCCAAAAACATACCAAATGGTAATGACCATCAACAAAATGAAGAAAATGTGTCAACTAATGGGCAAAACATCCAACTAGCATCAAAATGGCAAGCTCAAATTCACACAAAACAATATTAACTCTAAATGTAAATGGGCTAAATGCCCCAATCAAAAGACACAGACTGGCAAATTGGATAAAACGTCAAGACCCATCTGTGTGCTGTATTCAGGAAACGCATCTTACGTGAAAGGACACATAAAGGCTAAAGATAAAGGGATGGAGGAAGATTTATCAAGCAAATGGAGAGCAAAAAAAAGCAGGAATTGCAATCCTAGTCTCTGATAAAATGGATCTTTAAAGAAAGATCAAAAGAGACAAAGAAGGACATTACATAATGGTAAAAGGATCAATGCAACAAGAAGAGCTAATAATCCTAAATATATATGGACCCTATACAGGAGCACCCAGATACATAAAGCAAGTTCCTAATGACCTACAAAGAGACTTAGACTCCCATACAATAATAGTGGGAGACTTTAACACTCCAGTGTCAATATTAGACAGATCAATGAGACAGAAAATTAACAAGGATATCTAGAACTTAAACTCAGATCTCGACCAAGCAAACCTAACAGACATCTACAGAAATCTCCAACCCAAATCCACAGAATATACATTCTTCTCAGCACCACATTGCATCTACTCTAAAATCAACCACATAATTGGAAGTAAAGCACTCCTCAGCAAAGGCAAAAGAACAGAAATCATAACAAACAGCATCTCAGAACACAGGGGAATCAAATTAGAACTCAGGATTAAGAAACTAACTCAGAATCGCACAACTTCATGGAAACTGAACAACTGGCACCTGAATGTTAACTGGATAAACAATGAAATGAAGGCAGAAATAAAGATGTTCTTTGAAACCAATGAAAATGAAGATACAACTTATTAGAATCTCTGGGACACATTTAAAGCAGTGTCTAGAGGGAAATTTATAGCAATAAATGCCCACATAAGAAGCAAGGAAAGATCTAAAATCGACACCCTATAGTCAAAATTGAAAAAGCTAGAGGAGTAAGATAAAAAAAAAAAAACTCAAAAGCTAGCAGAAGACAAGAAATAGCTAAGATCAGAGCAGAACTGAATGAGATAGAGACACAAAAAACTCTTCAAAAATATCAATAAATCCAGGAGCTGGTTTTTTGAAAAGGTCAACAAAATAGACGGACCGCTAGCCAGATTAATAAAAAAGAAAAGGCAGAAGAATCAAATAGATGAAATAAAAAACAATAAAGGGGATATCACCACCAATTCTGCAGAAATACTACCATCAGAGATTACCACAAACAACTTTAGGCACATAAACCAGTAAATGTGGAAGAAATGGATAAATTCCTGAACACTTACACCCTCCCAAGCCTAAACCAGGAAGAAGTTGAAACCTTGAACAGACTAATAACAAGAGCTGAAGTTGAGGCAGCAGTTAAGAGCCTACCACACCAAAAAAGCCCAGGTCCAGATGGGTTCACAGCTGAATTCTACCAGACATATAAAGAGGAGCTGGTACCATTCCTTCTGAAACTATTCCAAATAATACAAAAAGAGGGAATCCTTCCCAAATCATTTTATGAGACTAACATCATCCAGATACCAAAACCCAGCAGAGACACAATAAAAAAAGGAAATTTCAGGCCAATATTTATAATGAACATGGATGCAAAAATCTTCAATAAAATATTGGCAAACCAATTGCAATATCATATCAAAAAGCTTATCATCACGAACAAGTAGGCTTCATCCCAGGGATGCAAGGCTGGTTCAACATATGCAAGTCTATAAACATAATCATCACATAAACAGAACCAAAGACAAAAAGTACATGATGATTATCTCAATAGATGCAGAGAAGGCCTTCGATAAAATGCAACAGCCCTATATGCTAAAAACCCTCAACAAACTAGGTATCGAAGGAACATATTTCAAAATAATAAAGGCTATTTATGACAAACCTACAGACAATATCATACTGAATGGGCCAAAACTGGAAGCATTCCCTTTGAAATTTGGCACTAGACAAGGATGCCCTCTCTCACCACTCCTATTCAATATAGTATTGAAAGTTTTAGCCACAGCAATTAGGCAAGAAAAAGAAATAAAGTGTATTCAAATAGGAAAGCAGGAACTCAAATTGTCTCTATTTGTGGATGACATAATTGTATATTTAAAAGACCCCATCATCTCAACCCAAAAGCTCCTTAAACTGATAAGCAACTTCGACAAAGTCTCAGGATACAAAATCAATGTGTAGAAATCACAAGCATGCCTATACACCAATAACAGACTAACAGCCAAAGCATTAGCAAACTCCTATTCACAATTGCTACAAGAGAATAAAATACCTAGGAATACAACTAAAAAGGATGTAAAGGACCTCTTCAAGGAGAACTACAAACCACTCCTCAAATAAGAGGGGACACAAATAGCTGGAGAAACATTCCATACTCATGGTTAGGAAGAATCAGTATCATGAAAATAGCCATACTACCCAAAATAATTTACAGATTCAACACTCCCCATCAAGCTATCAATGACCTTCTTCACAGAACTAGACAAAACCACCTTAAACTTCATATGGAACCAAAAGAGAGCCCACATAGCAAAGACAATCCTAAGCAAAAAGAACAACACCAGAGTAATCATGCTACCTGACTTCAAACTATACTACAAGGCTACAATAATCAAAACAGCATGGTAGTGGTACCAAAACAGAGATATAGACCAATGGAACAGAACAGAGGCCTCA